TAAAATCTTTAAAAATAAATAAATAAATAAATAAATATTGTAATAATTATTTTAAAAAGTTGAAGACATAGTGCATATATTTTTTGGAAGGTTTTTTTTTTTTTATTTTGTTTTATGATGTTATGTTAGTCACCATACATTACATCTAGTTTTTGATGTCGTGCTCCACGATTCATTGTTTGCGTATAACACCCAGTGCTCCATTCAAATATGTGCCCTCCTTAATACCCATCACCAGGATAACCCATCCCCCCACACCCCTCCCCTCTAAAACCCTCAGTTTGTTTCTCAGAGTCCATAGTCTCTCGTGGTTTGTCTCCCCCTCTGATTCCCCCAGCTTCATTTTTCCCTTCCTACTATCTTCTTTTTTTTCTTTTAACATATAATGTATTATTTGTTTCAGAGGTACAGGTCTGTGATTCATCAGTCTTAACACAATTCACAGTGCTCACCATAGCACATACCCTCCCCAGTGTCTATCACCCTGCCACCCCATCCCTCCCACCCCCCACCACTTCAGCAGCCCTCAATTTGTTTCCTGAGATTAAGATTTCCTCATATCAGTGAGATCATATGATACTTGTCTTTCTCTGATTTACTTATTTTGCTTAGCATAATACCCTCTAGTTCCATCCACATCATTGCAAATGGCAAGATTTTGCATTTTTTGATGGCTGCATAATATTCCATTGTGTATATATACCACATCTTCTTTATCCATTCATCTGCTGATGGACATCTTGACTCTCTCCATAGTTTGGCTATTGTGGACATTGGGGTAGTGCATATATTTTTTAAATGTTCCTAAAAGTGAAAGGGACCTCTGTCTCTCTACCCCCTCTCACACACACACCTTTAAATTCCAGATTATTGGCAACCAAAATTAAGAATTAGATGGAGGAAAAGAGCAAGAAATACGAAGCTGCTAATTTTCTAATTTTACATCAAGAAGTATCAGTAGAAACTTTCTTTGGCAATAGTAATGAAATCAATATTGTTGCAAGTGCATGTTTTAAGATTCAAAGAAACTTATCAGATAATTAAAAGTATATGTATACACCATTCTAATTGTTAGAGATTAAAAAACATTAAAAATAATCAATTTATTTAAAAAAGAGAGAAAACAAGAACAAAAGCGCAGGCCAACAAGAAAACAAAGATAAAAAATGTCAAATCCAATTGGCACCAAAATTTGATTTCCTCACCTATAATGTGGGTTACTTAAAACCTAATTTATAGGTTAATCTTGGGGATGAATAGGATAATGCTCAAAAAGTACTTAGCAGTGCCTGGCTCACAAAGTTCAGTGCTCTTGCTGCTGCTGATTATTACTATTATTACTATTAATCATCATCATTAACAATTATATATATGTATATATATATATATATATATCACCTACAAAAATAAATTTAAATGGATGTAATTTGATAAACTATTTTAATCTTTTTTATTAAAAGAAAAAGATTAATGCTATAAGTAAAATAAGAGAATTGAAAGTTAAAGCATGTGAAAAGATATATCAAAGAAACACAAACCAAAGAAAGCACAACAATGGAGAATCCAAGGTGAAGAGGCATGGAACATTGCAAAGATGATCATTTTATATGCACAAGGGAAAAATCACAGTGAAGATAAAATTGTCATGAAATTTAATGCATTAAAAGTGTATCTCTAAAATAAATAACATAAAAACATTTGGAAATGCAAGAAATAAGGGAATTTTAAACATGTTATCCTCAATAATCATAAATCAAAAGACCAAAATAGAAAGTCTATAGAGGATTTTAATGATGCAATTAATAAGATCTAATTAATATATATTAAACATTTTACCTTACAAAGATTTTGATGTGGAAATTTTTTCAGTGCAATAAGAATGGTTTTATTAAAGCATGGGGATAGGACCCATGGGCAGAAAGAGCTGGTCTGGACTTGTGTGGGGTGACTGATTATATACTTTCAAGTTGGGAGGGGGTCAGGGATATAGCATAAGTCTCTAAGGACTTTTGGAAGCAAGGTTTCCAGGACCCTGAGGGAGCTAGCTATCGTTGGGAAAAGGTCATGTATTATTGTCTAATAAAGCCTTAGTCATGAGGCCCTTGAGATGTATATCAGTGGGCCATATGTTTGGAGGATGATTGCTAACAAAGATCTTGGGGGGTAGAGATAAAAGAAGTTTCCAAAGGAATTGTTAATATGTTAAGGAAGACTTACAGAATTTTGGGGGTTGAGACAATGTTAAACTAAGATTACCTTTTGCCTTTAAGAAAGTGTCAACACTGAAGCAGCTGAGGTCTCAGAGGAAAGTCACTCTGCTTGTTTCAAGGACTAGTTAATGGGCTGTGGTAAGGAAATTTAATTTTTTCCTTTTGCCTTTGTTACCCACATCGGATGAAATATACCCTTCTAAGTTTTTGGAAAATATTAACTGAATCACATATTTCATATAGTTTATAAGATTTTCATAATATTTGATTTGTACATGACAGTCTCTCACAACAATGCGATAAAAATAAAAACTAATGCTGGTAAAACATTTAAAAGAATCCAATCACTTGAGACTAAAAAGCAAACTTTTCAAACATTAGCTCACTAGGAAATGAAAGTTACTAACTATAAACCATTTATAAATAACCTGACAAACCCTATGTTAAAATTATGTGCCAAGACAATTCAATGGAGGAAAGAATAGTCTTTTTAACAAATGGTGCTGGGACAACTAGATGTCCACATGAAAAAGAATAAAGTTGAAGTCTTCTCGCATATTACATACAAAACATAGTCAATGTGGATCGGCACCAAAATGGAGGAGCTAAAACTATAAAACTTGCAGAAGAAAACCTAAGTGTAAATTTTCATGACTTTGGATTTGGCAACGATTGCTTAGATGGGACACCAAAAGCATAAGCAACAACAACAGAAGATAGATAAACTGGGCATGATCAAAATGAAACACTTTTGTGCTTCTAAGCACACCATCAAGAAAGTGGGGGGAAAACTCCCACAGAATGGGAGAAAATTTTGCATATACTATATCTTATAAGGGACTTGTATCTGGAATGGATAAAGAAAATTACACACACACACACACACACATGCATGCATGATGGTATGTTATTTGGCCACAAAAAAAAGAAGGAAATCCTGACATTTGCAACAACATAGATGGACCTTGAGGGAATTTGCTCAGTGAAGTAAGTCAGACAGAGAAAGACAAGTACCCCATGATTTCATATATATATATATATATATATATCAACCCCTTATGTAGTACACCTAAGACTAATGCAATGTTATATGTCAATCATATCTCATTAAAAAATTATCATTGAAGGGTACCAAAATATGCCACCCCAAAATATACCCCTTTAGCATAGGGACTATTTTGAACTAAAGGCCATTGAGAACAAGCAGACACAGGAAAAGCTCTAAAAACAGGGTACAGGTTTGTCTTTTGTAAAGGAAATCTACATTTGTAGAGGTGGGTCTCTCTCCTGTATCTGGAAGAGGTGGACACTTAAGAACAAAGAAGGCACCAACTTAAATGTACAGAACAAGTCTTACTAAGCAACTCTTGTTTACCATACTTCTCCTGGCCACTTTCCCACAAATTGCCTCCCTGACCAGAAAATTCCCAAACCCCTTTTCTGTATTTAAGCCCAAGATCTAACCACCTCTTTGGGTACTGAGTGCTCCCACATGCCCTTAAACTTCTGTGTGTTCTCATGTTCATCTGCCTGTGGCTAGTCTAATGCACAAGCCCCTGCTGGAGAACCTAGAATGGGTAGAGGAGGAGAATTTTCTCCCTTACATCAGGAAAGGGGAAAGCTGCTGAGTTCATAGATTAATAAATCTGAAAGCTAGTTATATAAATAAGAGAAACTCAACAACAGACATGCATTCACTTTTAATTTTTACTATTTTGATTAAATAAATTTGATTCAAATAAAGATACACAAATGTGGGAGTAAAAACATGACGTGAGTACAGACTCAGAGGAAACTATACAAGTAAGGATAACCTTAAAATACATATTCAATAAATAAATTTGATATTTTTATGAAAAGCATCATTTTCTGGCCAAGTATAAATTATAAAACTTTACTTAAAAAGAAGCAGAAAACCTGAATAATCCAATGACTATGCACGCTACTGAAAGGATTTTTCAGAAACTTTTAAACCACTTCAAAATTTTTCAAGGTCAAGTGGTTTCATACAAAATAATTTCTACTGTATATAATAGAGCACAGATGCCTAATCTATAGTTTTATTTAAATCTCAATTTATTTTCATGAACTTATATTAACTTGGTACCAGTGCTTGAGAAAGACAGCACCAAAACCACTCAACTTAAAAAAAAATAGCATATGAGACACTCTCACTTATGAATATAGGTGCAAAAATTCTAAATGAAATTTCAACAAATCAATTTCAGTGCTAAATAAAAATGAGAACATACCACACGATCAAACAGAATTATTCCAGGAATGTAAGGACAACTCTGCACTAGGAAATCTATCAATTTAATGTATCAGATCTGCAGTTGAAGGAAAATCTACACAATTATTTCTACTGAAAATGCATTAAAAATGATGATACTTTTTAAAAAAAAATTAATAGGCTTTATTTTTTAGAACTGTTTTAGGTATGCCCCCCCCAAAAAAAAATTAGTGAAAAATACAGAGCTTCCATATACTCTCTCTTCTTGCAGTCTCCTCTACAATTAACATCTTACATTAGGGTGGTACATTTGTTACAAGTGATGAGCCAATGTTGATACATTGTTATTAACTCAAGTCCATAGTTCACATTAGGATTCACTCCTGGTGTTGTACCTTCTATGGGTGTGAACAAATGTATAATGCCCCCTATCCACCATTATAGCACCCTACAGAAGATTTCACTGTCCTAAAACTCCCCTGTGCTCCACTTATTCATCTTTCCCTCCTCCCAAGCCCCTGATCCATTGACTATCTTCATAGTTTTGAATTTTCCAGGAAGCAGAATATGCGGCCCCAAAAATATGACTGAAGGACTCCAGGACATGCCACCCTAACATATGCTGCTTTGGTACACTGATTACTTTGACCTGAAAGCACTGGAAAACAGCAGATGCAGGAGGACTCTGATCTCCCTCATCTGCCTTAAGTCAGACCCTCCAAAAGGAACTAGGTCATCATCAATCCCCTCCTGGGAGTGTCTTCAGCAAGGAAGATGGATTCTTAGTACAGGAGATGAGACTAAAAGTCGGCATCGCATCCAGACACACTCTGTCCCAAACCGTCAGACTCCCCATCGAGTCTTCTGAGGGCCCCTTCTGCTTTCCTAAAACCATTTTCTCTCCCCTAAGAAGCCTGCAACTTCCCTTTTCCTTATTAAGATGGCATTTATTCCTGAGTTCTAAGCCACCTCAGACAGTTAGTCATTTTCCCCCATGAAACTTCCACGTATACATGAGACAGAAATGTTAATAAACTTCTTTTTGTTCTTCTCTTGTTAGTCTGTCTTTTATTACAGGAGTCTTAGCTAAGAACTCAGAAGGTAGAGGGAAAATTATTTTTCCTTCCCTACAGTAGGACTCATAGAGTATGTAGCTTTTCAGATTGGTGTTTTTTACTTAGCAACATGTATTTAAGGTTCTTCTATGTCTTTTCATGGTTTATAGTTTTGTGGGGGTTTTTGCAGTTTTAAATAAGCTGCTGTTATGAATAAACATTCACGTGGAGGTTTCGGTCTGAATGTAGATTTTTCAACTCATTTCGGTAAATACCAAGGAGCATGATTACTAGGTCATATAGTAAAAGCATATTTAATTTTGAAAGAAACCATCAAACCAACTCCCAAAGTCACTCTACAATTCTGTACTCACACAAGAAATGAATAGGAGTTTCTTTTGCTCCATAGCCCACATCTGGTGTTGCCAGTGTCCTGCATTTTGGCCATTCTAGTAGGTGTATAGTGCTATCTCCTTGTTTTAATTTGCAATTCCATAATCATGTTGAGCATCTTTTTTCACATGCTTATTTGCCATCTGTATATCTTATTTGGTAAAGTATCTGTTCAGCTCTTCTGCCTATTTTTAAATTGTTTGTTTTCTTATGTTAACTTTTAAGAGTTCGTTGTATATTTTAGATACCAGTCCTCTATCTAATATGTACCTTGAAAAAACTTTCCTTTGAAAGAGGCTTGTTTGCTCATTCCCCTAGGAGTGTCATTTGTAGAACAGAAGTTTCTAATTTTAATGGAATGCACTTATTAATTTTTTCTTTTACTGATTGTGCTTTTAGATCTAAGAAGTCATAGCCCCTGGCTGCCTTAGTTGGTAGAGCATGAGACTCTTGCTCTTGGTTGTGAGTTCAAGCCCCATGTTGGGTGTAGAAATTACTTAAAAATAGATCTAAGACGTCATTGCTAAACCCAAGGTCATCTAGGTTTTTCTCCTATATTAGCTTCTTGGAGTTTTATAAAATATGTTTTTTAATTAGAAAAAATAGAGACTCTGAATAAGTCAAGGTCCCCACCAGATTATTTAATCGAGACTTTAGTGAAGGGACAACTTGAAACAAGCTTGGCAAAGCTAAGGAAACATACAAGGGGTGGTGAGACACCTAAAGATAGCACCCATGGTAAGCTATTACCACTCCTAGGGCAGATAGGGAAAGGGAAGAGGTAGGGCTGGCACCTAAGCAATGGTAAAGGGGCTATTACTGGGGACTCAACTACTACTAAAGATTTCACTTTGGGGCAGGGAGAGAGCCAAGGAAGAACTCTTCTCCTTCCCTTCCAATGTCATGTCAGTGACCCTAGTTGGCCAAACCCAATAGAAGGCAGCCAGCAAATGAGGCTAGGGAGTACAGTCTCCAGAAGTTGCCCTCGTGAAGCACAGAGCTGAGCAGAGACAGGTGGGAAGTCCATGTGGGAGAGGGCACATGAAGAATAAGGACCATGAGCTCTTTGCATGACAGAAAAAATACATGAGTCACACTTTGACTATTATGGACCAAGGTTCAAAGCTGAACTTTATGACCAAGGTGAGTGAACACCTCCATTTCTTTATGTTTAACTGGGAATAACAATAACCCTGCATTATAAATACTGAGATGACTATATTAAATGTCTACTATATAAAGTATTGATGAGTACCCAATATATACTAGCAACTGCTGCAACTATTACTACTATTACTAGGGTAGTCATTTTGATTGGAGGGAGAGGAGAAACAGGCAGCAAAACCAGAAATGTAAGCATTATCTCTTAATAGAAGACATACATGAAATTAACAGCCAAAGCCATACCTGGCAATGAGATATTAACATGCCCCACCAAAACCAAGAACCAGGGAGGGATGTTTTCTATCACTATTATCATCTAATGTTCTAGAATTTTAGCCAACACAGCAAAATATGTAACACTGGAAAGAGAAGACATTTACCTTTTTATTACTTTTAGGTAATGATGATTCTCTATCTAGAAAGATCCCAACACCCAAATTTTATAATTAAGTGGCTAGACACATAATGAATTTATAAAGCATAAATGGCTTTTCTAAAATTAAGAAAAAAAGTTATTATATTTAATGGAAATAAATTCCCTTTTATAATAGTAACACAAAATATGAAGCACCCAAATGGACTTATAAAGAATTTTGCAAACAATGTGAAGAGAGCCAAAAAATCTGATAGCTACATGAAAAAAGGAATGTAGTAAATGAAAATCATTCACTTACAGGGTTAATGCAATTGCATTTAAATTCCCAGTGGGATTTATTCTGAAACATGTTCAAGTAAAATTAAGATTCATCTAGAAGAAGAAATTCATGAGTAGAGCTGAGAAAAGATAAAATAGAAACAAAATAGAAAAAGATTGACTTGTGATATTTGTTGTACTAGATGTAAAAACATAGTTTAATATTAATATATTTAAAACAGGTGGTGGTGGTGGCACAGAATAGAATACTAACAGGGATGAAGTAGAAATTCCAGAAGCAGAATAAGTACGTTAACATGATAAACTTAAATATGTATTCTGATACATGACCCCCAAGTAAATACCAGGTGGATTAAAGATCTAAATGTTGACAATCAGCCTTGATAAAAATCCTGGAAGAATATTTGTGTATCTCAGAATGGGAAAGGGCTTTAGGAGAATAAAAGCAATACAAAATAGTCACCCTGGGCGACCTTGGGTCAAATCTGTGGCCACACCTTTCTCAGGGATTGCTGAATGCCATTTCCTTCTAGATGCTGAAGGGGGTGGAGTTGCCCTGAGATGCACAGCGGGAGGGCGGCAATGGTGTGCAACATGCCTATTACACGATTCTCATCATCATCATCATCGCAAACGATATGAAGCTTTGTAGAGCAGGTACGATGTGCCAGACGTTGCATTAGACATTGAGCATGCCTCAGTTTATTAGAGTCTTACAACCAAAATATGAAGTAGGTGCTTTTGTTGTTATTAGTATCTATTTTATAGATAAAGAGACGCTTACAGTGATAAATGATTTGCTCAAAATGGTAAGAGCAGGTGGTAGAGTCTACTGGCTTTCAAAGCTTTTGCTCCGAGTTATGAAGCAGTACACTATTGTACTGCATCTCTCTGAGCCTTGATTTCCTCATCTATAAAATGGGATCTACATGGCAAGGCTGTCTTCAGATAGACAGGAAACATATGCAATGCATTTATCACAGTAAGTGGCATATAAAGAAACAAAACATAGGAATTAAAAATAACAAAGAGCAATGACAAGAATACACATATCTAGATAAATATTGATTGTATAAATAACATCACTTTGTGAGATCAAAAATAGAAAATTAAAGTAGCAAAAAAAAATAGCACTTTAATAAGTCAAGAATACCTGTTGTACTCTCTAGGGAAAATAACCCCCCTGCAAATTTTTAAGTATAATTAACAAGCTAAAAGAAGAAGTGAAATTATAAATTATTAAAAAATCCAAAAAATCTTAAGAAAGGACAGAAAATATAGAATAGTCAGGGCAAATATAAAACAAATAGCAAGGTGGTAGATTTAAGCCTAAATTACAGTATATTTAAACAGACGAAGTATTCCAATTGAAATATAAAGTTCCTCAGACCAGATAATAAAATAAAACAAAGTTGAACATGCTCTTTATAAGAGATATACCTTATATATAAGTATAGCAACAAGTAAAGGATGGGGAAAATATTATGCACACCAGAAGTTACAAAGTCAGAGATAAAAGTAGTTCATTTCAGAGCAATAAAAGTTTCCACTTTAAGATAAAATGATCTTAAATTTGTTTGCACCTAATAACATAACCTCCAAATGTGTAAAGTAAAAAAGGATAAGTCAACAAAAAGAAAAAAACATCCAGTAATGGTGGAAGACTATGTAAGTCAGGGTTCTTCAGAGAAACAGAACTAAAAGGATATATATATTGAGAGATTTATTTTAAGGTTTTGGCTCACATGACTGTGGAGCTGGCAAGTCCAAAATCTGCAGGGGAGGCTGGCAGGCTGAAACTCAGGCAGGAGCTGATGTTGCAGTTTTGAGGCAGAATTTTTTCTCCTCAGGGGAAACCTCAGTTTCTGCTCTTAAGACCTTCTACTGATTGGGTGAGGCCCACCCACATTCTTGAGGGTAATCTTTACTTAAAGTCAACTAACTGTGTTAGTCACTTCTACAAAATACCTTGACAGCAACACCTAGATTATTGTTTAATTGAATAATGAGGTACTATGCCCTATCCAAGTAGACACAGAAAATCAATATTCATGCAGATTTTACACAATTTAAAATGTAAATTGTATTTCTATTTTTTAAAAAAGAACAGTGAACAAAAGTAAACCAAGGGGTTGGTAATTGTTGCAGATTGGATCCCCCGGGAAGCAGAGTCTGAGCTAGAGATTAGCACGCAGGACTTCTCAGGGACTGTCTTGGTATCCACAGCTGTGGAAGGGAGAGGGAGGAAGCAGGATTTGGGAAGGGGCAGAGCTGAGACACAATTCAGCATCATCTGTAACCTCGGCCAACCCTCCCAGGAGATCAAAAGATGGGATGACCTTTCAGAACTGTGCTGAGCTGGGGCAACAAGCCTGGCTTTTATGCATCCCAAATCAAGTGAGCACTGGAGGCAGGGCATTGTGGAAGGAGGATGTCTCCCCAGGTGAGGCAGCTCTTCAGCTGAGGCCACTCGGAAGGGGGCTGACAGGTGAGGGCTGTGTGCAGCAGAGCTCTGGGTGCTGTGGCAATGAGTCCTTCAATCCTGACGGGACCTGGGCCACACATCACTGGATGTGTGTTTAGAGTCATGTTTGGATTCCTAACATGCTTAACTTCTTTGTCATGGGCATGATGTCACACCCATTATTTTAAACACATAGAAGAAGGGTGTGGGTACCACCTGATGGGGTCATAAAGGAAACTGATCTCTCCCCCTTACCATGCTATGTAAGTGGTGGCCCTTCTCAAAAGGCTGAAAGAGTTTACAACTCCAAGAAGAACCCTGGCTGGGGTTCCAGAGACTCCAGTGTGTCACTGACTCATCTCAGTCAGTCCCCTAGGTCTTGAATATGGAGTAGACATGTTCTTCTATCAGCCAGGGATCTCACTTTGGGCCACTGATCACCTGTGGGAATATCCTTGCCTCAGTTTCTGAAGGGGCGATGGCCAGCATTCCCCTGGATCTGAGGGGGAACTACGGAGAATAAGAATGGATCAGTTGTTAAGATAATGTGGCGGATGATCTCTTATGTTTCCTTAGCTCCATGAAGAAGCTTGGACCCACCTCTTTTACTGTGAGGAAAGGCTTCATTCATTCAGCATGGCATTTGTTGAGCACCTGCTCTGAGAGTATGCTTTCCCACCTTGTCAAAGACAGTGCACAACTCCTTAGAATGTTGTTTCCTTTAGTCATTGGTTATGAGTAACTCACAGTCTTTCATTATAATGCTTCCTTGGAAACTCATCATGGGAGATATAGACTGGCTCATATATTTCCCAGACAGAAGTTTGGCTACCAGCAGGGAATTCTAAACAAGTGAAGGCTGCAGATGATGAATGCACAGCATGATGATGGTTGAATTAAAAAAAAAAAAAAAATATATATATATATATATATACATATATATATGCATGGTACTAAAATGTCCATGAAACATTTTGTTTAAGCACAGATGCCAAGTCATTGTCTTTATAGGGTTCTTATTCTTAAACAATTTAGAATACTTTGTCCTTTAGGATGCATGCTGGGCAACCATATCATGATTGAGTGACTTATTGTACTTTTAATGATTTTCCTTCTCCTAAGAAAATGCATAGATACTATATTAGAACAGGACCAATAAGATCCATCTATGTATCTATCTATGTATCTATCTAGATATCTAGATATCTAGAAAGAGAGAGAGGAGAGAGATTAATTATAAAGCATTGGCTCACATGATGATGGAGGCTGAGAAGTCCCACAGTGTTGTTTGCAATCTGAGACCTCAGGAAAGCCAAAGAGCCAGCGGCATAGATTCCAGGCTGAGTCTGAAGACCTGAGAACCAGGAGCACCAAGGTTGGGAGGAGATCAATTTCCCAGCAGTCAGGCTGAGAGCAAATTCAACCTTCCCCTGCCGGTTTGTACTATGCAGGCCCTCACTGGGGAGGGCACCTACTTTACCCAATCGTCCAATTCAAATGCTCCTCTTTTCCAGAAACACCTTCACAGACACATCCAGAAGAG